TAGGAGCTCATGCTATATATTAGGAAGACTACTAAAGTGAATTGAAAATATTTTTTCCTCTCAGTGCTTTTCTAATTTTGATTATGGTTTTTCTTAACATGGTGAATTTTATGTGTTCACATTTACCCGTTTTTTTCAACGGACTTTTGAGTCAAAGGTACCAAAGGCTTTTCCTGCTCCAGAGTTATAAAGGAATGTGCACATCATTTCCTCCAGGACTTCTGGAGTTCCATGTAGAGTTTATCCTGGTTTATTGTGAGCTTTGTGAAACTAACAGCCTATTGCAGATGGCTACCCCTTTATCCCAAGGCAGACCACTTTTACTGATTTGGGAGGCTGCCTCATTGTATACTAAATTTTTGACTTCAGGTTTATTCGTGGATTTTGTGTTGTACTATATATTTTCACATGTGGCAAGACCAGTTCTTACAATTGACATGGCTCTCAATTGTCATAATGCTCCAAAACATTCCTGCCTGTTTATTTTCCCTTACAAACAATGCAAACGAGCAACAAAACATTTAAAAGTCTTTTGTATTTTTCTTAGCATTAGAATAGATTGATGAGGGGCGCTTGGGTGACTCAGTCCATTAAGCATCTGCCTTTGGCTTAGGTCATGATCCCAAGGTCCTGGGATCGAGCCCTGCATCGGGCACCCTGCTCAGCGGGAAGCCTGCTTCTCCCTCTCCTTCTGCTGCTTCCCCTGCTTGTTCTCTCTGTCAAATAAATAAATAAAATCTTAAAAAAAATAGATTGATGAATTAACTGATGAAAAATTGAAATGTTCATCAGGTAAAGTCTCCTTATTCAAAAATAAAGTACAACTTTATGCTTCTTAAAGTCTACTTTTCTATCGTTCAGGAATTTTAAGGTTGCCCTTCAGTAGATTTTCATGTAACTTTTAGTGTATGCCTAAGCCTGTAATCTTTGACTATTGGTATGTTAAAATCCTGTCCACTTTATTTTTAACTGGCCATTTATTCATGGAATTGGCTTTTAGAAATCAGTAAAGCCTTTGGTTACCAAGATAGTTGTTAACTTTCTCAATATCAGTGAATGGTATATTCTCCACAATGTAATCGACCCTTCAAAAGGTTACAACATTTTAAACCATACCCCTCTGAGGATCAGATTTTTTTTTTTTTTTAAAGATTTTATTTATTTGACAGAGAGAGATACAGCGAGAGAGGGAACACAAGCAGCGGGAGTGGGAGAGGGAGAAGCAGGCTTCCCGCGGAGCAGGGAGACCGATGCGGGGCTCGATCCCAGGACCCTGGGATCATGACCTGAGCCGAAGGCAGACGCTTAACGACTGAGCCACCCAGGCGCCCCGAGGATCAGATTTTTGAGCACTGGTTGGGTAAAGTTGGGGGGAAAAAGTTATAAATCAATGTCTTTAAAAAGTTTGGCCTTACAATATTCATTCTATTTTTAAAATTTTATTTAAATTCAACTAAAAACATATAATGTATTATTTGTTTCAGGGATATAAGTCTGTGATTCATCAGTCTTATAAAATACCCAGTGCTCATGAACACATAGCCTCCCCAATGTCCATCACCCAGTTACCTCATCCCTCTACCCCCTTCCCCTCCAGCAACCCTCATTTTCTTTCCTGTGATTAAGAGTCTCTTATGATTTGTCTCCCTCTCTGATTTCATTTTGTTTCATTTTTTCCTCTCTTCCCCTATGATCCTCTGCCTTGTTTCTTAAATTCCACATATCAGTGAGATCATAGAATTGTCTTTCTCTGATTGACTTATTTCACTTAGCATAATACCCTCTAGTTCCATCCCCATCGTTGCAAATGGCAGGATTTCATTTTTTGATGGCTGCGTAATATTCCATTGTGTGTGTGTGTGTCTATATATATATATATATATCACATCTTCTTTATCCATTCATCTGTCGATGGACATCTTGGCTCTTTCCACAGTTTGGCTATTGTGGACACTGCTGCTATAAACATCGAGGTGCAGATGCCCCTTTGGATCACTACATTTGTATCTTTGGGGTAAATACCTTGTAGTGCAATTGCTGGGTCGTAGGGTAGCTCCATTTTCAACTTTCTGAGGAACCTCCATACCGTTTTCCAGAGTGACTGTACCAGCTTGCATTCCCACCAACAATGTAGGAGGGTTCCCCCTTCTCCACATCCTTGCCAATACCTGTCATTTCCTGACATGTTAATTTTAGCCTTTCTGACTGGTGTGAGGTGGTGTCTCATTGTGGTTTTGATTTGTATTTCCCTGATGCCAAGTGATGTTGAGCTTCTTTTCATGTGTCTGTTGGCCATTTGGATGTCTTCTTTGGAGAAATGTCTGTTCATGTCTTCTGCCTATTTCTTGATTGGATTATTCTTTTGGTGTTGAGTTTGATAAGTTCTTTATAGATTTTTGGATACTAGCCCTTTATCTGAGGTGTCATTTGCAAATATCTTCCTCCAATCTGTTGTCTTTTGGTTTTGAATATTATAATATTCATTCTTGCACAGTTGAAATGTCACTACATTTTTTAACACCTCATTGGAGGTGGACTGAAAACTAAATCTCTCGGTTTTTATACACTTATATGATTGTAAAAATTTTGAAGGTTAATATTAAGTAGGGAAAAATGCTAAGAACTTATTTACTAAACTAGCAACAAGTTCCTGTCAGAAATGAACTCAAGGTCCCTACCCAATTCTGAGCAAGATGTTCTCAGTATGTCATTTCCACCAAAATTAACAACAGGGTGTGATGAAGATAGACAATGTAGACCTCCTGTAAACAGGAGGAATTTGGAATAGACTGGAAGGAAGGAAAAGAGGGCTAAATAGACTATTATGGAAAATAAATGTGTTCAAAAGACTTTGATTCAAGGACTCCAGGAGATGAATATATCAATTCATACTGAAAGAATGTAGATCCCATTATTAATATATAAAAGATGGATTTTAAAACTGGAACCTATGACCTAGGCATTAAAGGGGATTAAAAAAAAACTTAATATACTTCTATTACGCTTATATTTCATGGACTAAAGAGATATATTTGCTACTAAAAAGAAGGTAACCTGGGCATAACCAGGACACGGATGTTCAGTCGGTGAAGTGTCTCCCTTCCGGTGTGGGTCATGGTCCCAGTGTCCTAGGATCCAGCCCCCCATGGGGCTCCTGGCTCCCTGCTCCGTGGGGAGTCAGCTTCTCCCTCTGCCTCTCCCGCTGCTTGGGCTCTCTCTCTGTCAAATCAATAAATAAAATCATAAAAAAAAAGGTAACCACTGCTAAATAAGCTATTCCTCACTGTATTCAAATGCTACTATTGGCTGTATGATTTTCAACAATTAAATGGTATTAAAACTATTCTATGAATTTTTTACAAATACATATATAATATATATAAAATGTATATATCATATATATCTATATATATATACACACACACACACACATTTTTAAGGAGACGGGCTTATTTATTATTGCCTAAAAAGTTGGCTTTTATATGGTGAAAATGAGGTGAATATATTAAAATCAGACCTTGAGAAAAATGAGAAAAGGACACTGACCCTCAACCCCTACTAAATCACTTTCTGGCTCTGATATATAAATCAGATGACTCCAGACAAAGCTCGCCCTGCAGACTACAAGAGGATTATTAGTGAGATTTTAAACTCTTGAAAAGAAGATTCAACACCAACAACAAAAACTAGGGTTGTTGTACCAACCTAACGTAAAAAGTTGACTCTTGAAGACTCCTGCAGAACTCCCTTGTAAGAGAGGCAGCCCTTGATAGGTTCATGGCAGTGCCAGGACATTGAGAATCCTCAGACAGCCATGCGCCATGGACCTGTCCCGAGACGCAGCCTGGGCCAGGCACGGGGCCGCTTTGGCGACCCTGGTGCGGCTGCCGGCTGCCCTCCGCACTGACCCGTGTGGGCCAGGTCCGCACTGACCCGTGTGGGCCAGGGTCCACGTCGGAATCCCGTTTGTGGGGGGA